CTCAGCGCTCCCGAGCCCCGCTGGGAGGGGACACGGTTTTCCAGCTCAGCCCGCGCTGAAGAGACGAAGCCCCAAAGCTCAGCTCTCGGCCCCACGATTCTTGTGCCTCCTTCCAGCGGTTTCCACTGGATTTAAAAAAACGCGGCGGGTAAGTGATGAAGACCCTCCCTCCGCCTGGGCTAGACCTGTTGCACCCGCCTCCTGCACAAAAGGTCCTTTGCACCTGCTCCGCCTTGCAGACCAGTTCAGTTACATACACGGCAAGGCGGGCTCCTGCTGCCAAACACTTTGTTCTTCAGCACAGAAACACTCTTGCCTGGCTCAGCCTTTCCCAGCTATTTCAGCACGAAGTAACCCGGCCCCCAGGGTCCTGTTTCTCCAAGGCCCCGGTAGCTGCAGCCGCGGGACGGGACCGAGGGCCCCGGCGGGGATTTCACGGATCCCGAGCCCCGCTGGGAGGGGACACGGTTTTCCGGCTCAGCCCGCGCTGAAGAGATGAAGCCCCAAAGCTCAGCTCTCGGCCCACGATTCTTGTGCCTCCTTCCAGCGGTTTCCACTGGATTTAAAAAAACGCGGCGGGTAAGTGATGAAGACCCTCCCTCCGCCTGGGCTAGACCTGTTGCACCCGCCTCCTGCACAAAAGGTCCTTTGCACCTGCTCCGCCTTGCAGACCAGTTCAGTTACATACACGGCAAGGCGGGCTCCTGCTGCCAAACACTTTGTTCTTCAGCACAGAAACACTCTTGCCTGGCTCAGCCTTTCCCAGCTATTTCAGCACGAAGTAACCCGGCCCCCAGGGTCCTGTTTCTCCAAGGCCCCGGTAGCTGCAGCCGCGGGACGGGACCGAGGGCCCCGGCGGGGATTTCACGGAGCTGTGCGAGACGAAAGCGCTCCCACCGACCCAGCCCCGCCAGCAGCGGCGCGGGGAGAGCCCGTGATTTGATGAGCTCAAAAAGCAGCAGTTCCAGAGATGCTGCTGCTACCAGAGCACGTCCCCTTCCCCAGGCTGGTGGGCTTCCTATCAATGAAGCACACAAAGGCACAGAGTCAGGAAATTGGATCTATCTCCCCCAGATGTAAATACCACTGCAGGACTGACCTAGGGGAAGGTTCAGCTTCAGAACCAGTGGAAAGGAAGGATTAGAGGCAAGCAGTTCCAGCTTGGGGCCTCTTCTCTGCTGACTAAACAGGACCTGGGGCAGCCAGCAGAAAGCACTTGCTCCCTGAGAAAACGTCCAGCACAGGCTAAACAAAGCACTTTCCTAAGCCCAGGCAGAAGAACAGATTTAATACCCATTTCTACTCCTCCCCATTGCACAGCAGTGTACACTTTGTTATACAGTCAGCTTACAAAAGTCACCACTGCAGTTGAATTTGAGGCTGTGACAGAGCTGCCTCACAAGGCTGATGGACACACACAAAAAAAGGAAAACTATCAGGCTTCTAAGATGGCTAGTCCCACACCTACAGGTCAGGAACACAGAAGGAAACACCTCTGTGGAGGTGGCCATCCTCCTAAGGAAGAATGGAAGACTGTCACACGCTGTCCCCTCTCCTTTTCCCATCTTAAAGGATTTCCATACAACCCCCTGGCAGAGCAAACCTATATAAATGCCCCTTCAATTTCATTCGAGGTCAGATAGCTGTGACCAATGGAGCACATGCAGTCCCAGGGGGTGTTAGTGGCCTTAATTTACAGCTTCAGCATCTTAATTGAGACCAGTTTACAGAAGCAAAACAAAAGGCAGCTTTGTTTTTATCCCATCCCTGTTTGTAAGCATGAGAGACCACCTGCAAGGTTGTTTGCTTAAAGCCTTTAGGCAAAAAGTAACTGTGACAGTGTCAAATAAGAAGAAACAAGTCTCTGCTGAAAAGAGAAGGCCTGTACACAGAATGATTCTGCAGAAAGAGCAGAGCATAGCCCAAAGGGTTCTCCCAAGCAGGCTGGTCACTGCTAACGGCAGAGCACGGGCAGGGTGGGTTTGAGCAGCCTCTGCCCTCTGAGGCAGGGTGGAACAGCAATGTGCTCTCAGCAGGTTTGCACCAGGATTCCTGCTCCCCTGGGAGAGAAACACCTCAAAAATGTCTCCATCATTCTCTTCTCTGTTAAAAGCCCATCGTTGTTAACTAAGATCTAAGTGGGAAGCTCTTAATTCCCTTTTCCAGTGCATAGAGTGGGAAGCATAAGTTTATATTAAATAAATGTAGGCCCTGCGTTCAGACTTCCCAGGAGAATTTAAACCAGGGACACTGAAAAAGCAGATTTAAAGGAAAAAATGAGAAAAAGAACACGTCAGTCATTTAGCATGTAAAATGTAATTAGCTGACACACCTCACTTCAGCCAAAATCTGAGTGAGATTCAGGAAAGGATTAGACAATTACATGAATAATGAGGATATCCAGATCAACAAGACAGAACAAAGTTTGCAAAGCACAATCTCATTTTTTAGAGCCTCTGGCAGATGGATGTTGGAAAAGGCTCTTCAGGGCATGCTGCCCCATAATTTCCTCCTTAATTTTGCTGCACCCTCTTCTGAAGCACAGTCGCATACAGGAAACTGGATTAAACATAGGATCAGCAACTCTCTGGGGTTGTATAGGGAACGTTGTTAATGGATTCATGAGCAGTGTGCATTTCTCTCATCTTTCCTAATGTGGTTGTTAAGCATATTGCTAGAAAGCTAACATTGCATCCTGGCATTATAGCTGCATCTTGGCATTAGCTGCAAGATGTTTAATGGGACAGAAAGGGGATGTAAGCCACAGAAGGGGACAGTTCAAGCCATCAAAATATTCATGAGAGGAGTTTATGCTTCACCAAACACAAAAGCAACTCATAGAAAATAATACCAGTTTTGTACAGTCTGAATCACCAAGGGCCACAAGCCAGCCTTCCAGAGTAGGATTTGGTTCACTAGTGTTTGAAAGTCAGAAACTCTTCCAACACCGAGGCAGGCTGCACCACCCATCATTTAAGCCCTCATCAGTGGTGAAACACCCAACCTTTTATTAGGTAGCCCTGAAAGCAGAAGTCATGGCACAGCAACCTTCCTGTCCTCTGATAGCTCGAGTGATCATCAGGTTTTGAGTTTGATACATTCTTCTAGAGTTGAAACTTTGAATAAGCAACAGGGATTCATGATTTTATGTCTGCTGGTCTCAGGGCTGATCCCTGGAAGACCATGCATGCACTGAGAACATGCAGTTCATTAGACACCTAGGTCCTAAATTTCTAACTGATGCCAAGTGACATATCTTCTCTGGCAGCTTGTTCTTTTGCTCACTCATCAGATGAGGATTTATTTATGTCTGCATCATCAGGTGCATCTTTGAGCTTTTGACGAGCAAACTCCTCAAATACCATCTCTGCTTCCCTGAAATGGAAGAAGCACAGGTCTTTCAAAAGCATGTTAACAATTTTTTTATAGCAGCAGGCTAAAGGCATCATATAGGAGGAAGACAAGCTTGGAGCAGACTATGCTAATGTTTCCTTTGCCTTTAGAGGGATTTGGATCACACTCTGACAGGTACCATCTTGATTGGTGGTATCCTAACTAGTATGAAAAGCAGCTGATTGAGAAATTCAGGACACAAGCTGAGGAGTTTTTTTATCTGTACTGAACCATTCCACCTAAGAGTTTTTCAGCTAGCTGAATAGTCTGCAGCCTGAATGGGTCTTTGTCTAGAACTAAAATGTGAAACCTTTCATCCTTATTCCTTCAGAACTAAAATGTGAACACATGGTCAAACCTATGGAGTTGCTGAAACTTAAGAGATACAGATCACCAGCTGCCTATAAACACATCCCTCCCTCCACCTGGAAGGCAGAACATGTTTGCTTGAACTAGTTTCCTGTGGTCAGTCATTGCTGTTCAACTGACAACAGTGACCTGTCAAGCCACAGTAATTTACTCACTTTGGAGTTAAGCTCATACGCTGTGAACCCTGTGGATTTATATACAATCTTGAGGAGTTTCCAGAGTCAATGCACAACTGCAGATGGAGTATGAAAAAGCACTAGAAGAAACTTACCCATTCTTCTCTGCTGTCATCAGCATGCAGTAAAGGAGGAAAAAAAAAGACACATCAAGTAATTAGAGCAGTGGATGATAAAACCAGCAAAATTTATAAACTGACAAGACAAAATAGTGCAAATTGTAAGATTTGCAGCAATACAAGGAGAATTCCAGAAACTCTCAAAATGTGCCTACATGCATCTGAGGGAGGAAAACTCGATCTCCTGAATGGAAAATCCCTCTACTAATGTGGCCCAGGACATCAGAAGGACTGAGAAGCAATGACAGATTTTCCCATTTATGCTTGCTCGTGGTCACAGCTGTGAGACACATCTGTGCACACACTTCTACTCAGAGGTGACAGTGCTGGTGTGACGTGATGTCAGCCTCAATTGGTCTGTCACTGTAGTCAGCTGGTAAGAAGATAGTGTTCTTGTTAAAAAAAATGAAGGTATTTCAGTCAAATTAAGTCAGAAAGGCCTAGGTGGTTTCTCATTAGATAGTTTATGCAATCGAGGCAATACTGATTTCATTCTGGCCTGAATATAATCCTGAGACCTTTGGCACTTGTGTTTCTTTGCTAACTACACTGTAATGGATCCTGCTTGCTAGCAGGATTCCTTGGGAGCTCTTCCAGCACAGCCTGAAATAAGCAGAAGAGACTGTATTGCAGTGACGAAATGGAGCAGGGACTTTTTTTTTTTCTCACAGCTGCTTTAGCAAGTAACAGTTGCTTCACTGGGTTACGTTTCATGAGTTTAGGTCAGGGAGGAAAGCACACATAGGCCACCATTCTACAGAAGTCCTAGGATGCTTCAGTGTCTGGATAACTCACTACTTGGAGAATTCCCACCCACATCAAACACTGTAATCAAGGGCAACAAGTGGTTACCAGTACTGCTGGAAAAGTCAGCATTAACAGTGTGCCAAACGGGGCTACTCTAGCTGAAATGCCTCCAAGGATGGTGCATGTCAAGTCATGATGGTGTCTATCCAGACTCGGAAAGGATGGTTTCCTCTACTCACAGAAGCCAAGATGAAGTCTGGAGAGTCTCAGGGCATGCATGCTTGATTGAAATGGATTTAAACTGAAATATTTAGAACTTTAACTTTTCCAACATAGAAAGCATCATTCTCATTTCATTTTTCCTCCAATTTTCATTTTTATTTAGTCTGCTCTTCTTCCCCACTTTAGGTACATTCATCACTCTGGGAACAGTGACATCAGTGAGGGGGGTGACACTGAGCCATGGCCCCCAATGCAGCTGGAAGCCAATTGCATCAAATGGGCAGAGGGGGAAAAATAGGTATTGTTTCAGCTGGTCATACACTTTACTGTCAGATAAATGCTCAGTGAATCAACACATCAGCACTGAGGCAGTGCAGCCCTGCTTCTCCTGCACCTCAGGCCTAAGGTGACATTCCCCAGTGCACTCCTCTACCCTCAGGCTGCTACACCAGCACGTAGCTGGTTAGATGGCTACATTGGCACCCTAGCAGGCCTATTCCACATAGTTCTCTTGCTTGTCCCATAGTATATTTACCATTATAACATTGAAACATTCACAACATGCCCTGAAAAGGGGCAGACTTTTCTTATTTTTAACTGGCATGCCAGCCATTGTTTCATGGGTTGGGAAGGGAGGGGGCTGTGCTGGAGGACCAAGGAGGCTGCAGAATGTCATCATACTCTCTCTGCAGAGGGTTTTCTGTAAGCTTCTATTATGAAGCCACAGAAATGATTCCATATAAGTTGCGGCCACTGAAGTTGCAGCATATGGTAATTTTCATTATAAGATTGCTTTTAGCTTTTTTTTTTTGTTTTTGGGGGGGGAAGGGTGGAGAAGGGGGTCCCACTGTGTTATTTTTCAAGCCATTAAAGTATTTAAAATTTAAATAATTCGTTAAAGTTCCAATTCTAAAACAGGGCAGGTGGAGTTTTAATATTAAAGTGACACAGCATTTTTGGGTTTAATGAAACCAGCCCTTTCATGCAAGTTTAACAAGGGAGCAGATTGATGACCATTTCCTGAACAACAGCCAAAAACAAAGGCCAGTGTTCAAGCCCACAAAATGTAAAACATCAGGAGAAGTGCAGGAAAACCCTGGACCAAAGAACTCACACTGAGAAAACAGCCTTGAGAAAAACCCAGCAGGAGATTCTGGCCTAACTGCTGACTGGGAAAGGTCTTGGAAGCATGAAGAGACACAGCCCAGCTTGAATCTATCTTTAAAAGAAACAGATCTCTATCCATTTTTGTCAACAGGCAGAAAAGACATCCTGCCAACACGACAGGAGCTGCTCTGCCTAAAAATAACGACCTGTGAACCACATGGGTCCAAGAACAGTTGCAAAACCAGCACACATGAAACATGCAAATGCTGCCCCAGGAGAAGTCCAAGATGAGGAGGCTATAAATAATCAGGGGAAAGGAACTGCAGCAAGCTGCTCCCTTCTGGCTCCTCCGGGCACAGAAAAGGAAGAGCAAGCTGCAGTAGCCGTGTGCCCTGACAGACCTGCTTTGTCCAGAGCCATCAACCCTTCAGAGCTTGCTCACTGCAAAGCAACCTGTTGTGAAAAAAACCACATGGCAAGTGATCACACTTACCCCACTTTGGCCCTCAAAAAATTAGACCATGTTCTTGAGAAGCTTAGATTTCTCAGGTGCTCTATACTCAGATCAGCCCTATGTGATCAACTATACTGATGCTACACGTTTTGTTTAACTTTTGCCGTTAAGTCACCCTGGCTAGAGAAGGGAAAAGGGTATTATCACACTGCAAGGAATAAATCCTAACACATGGCATATTTAAATCTCACTTTAGCTTCAACTCTGTAAGACAGTTGCTTTGACTTCTTACCTCTCTCCCAGCTGTGTCTTAAAATGAAGTGACAGTCAAGGGAGAGAACAGTCAAGCAGGGACGTGCAAACTGGCTCCTACTGACTCATCAGTAAAAATAAAAGGGAATGGAAAAAGAAGATAAGGGGTGATCTCAAAACTCCCTGTGCATGCACCCCTGCCTACACCCACTGCAGAGGCTACTGAACAAGCCAACAGAGAAAAATTCCACCTTTTGGGGCCTTTCAGAGTCAAAAGACTATTGAAGCTCCATCTCTGCAATTAAGTCTTGATTTGCTTGATTCCAAACTACATGGTATTTCACTAGTGAATCACATGTTATTTCTCATAGTTTATGTCTAAGGTGGTAGACTAAAAATTGTAAAAGCAGGAACTCACATTTGGGAAGAGTGATTAGGCTTGGGGCATGGAAAACGACCAGCAGATAAAGCTGGGAAGAGTTTTAGCTTACTGGCTTTGTATGGGAGGTTGTTTTACTCCCTGTAATGAGCTCAGACACCACATTCCAGCACAGTTTTCATGTCAGCTATGCAGCCTTCAGAGGAATTTTCTGTTGTGTTACTGTATCTTCTTTTAAGAGACAGCATTTATTTCTCTAGTTAACCATTTGTAGTGCTTTCCCCTAGGAAAAGCTCCTGAAACTACCTGTATTTTTTTTCTACTTGTAAGAAACTCCCAATTTACATCTGTACAAAGCACCTGAACCAGAGCTGTCTCCTGACAGCAAGCTCCTAAGAGACTTGGGTGTAGCAAACAATATGTGGGCTGTGCCTGTGGTAAGAGGATGTGTTGGATGTGATCTGAGAAATATTGCAGTTCTTCATTTCCCTTGAGAACTCTTCTGCCCACGTTCTTTTGGGTGTATCATGTACAAGATGCAGCAGCTGTTCTTTGAAATTCTCTTAGAAGGGAGAACTGACCAAATACCATTTTTCCTCATATTACAAATGCTTCTGCCAGAATTATCTGCCTGGAACACAGGTAATAAAAACAGGGTTGAGGCACTGTTAACACCAGAAGATGTAATATAAAAAACATGTCATTCAAAAAAATGTTGAATTATTTACAGTTGCCTAAGCCTTTGTTCAATGCCTGTTTGATGTTTTCAAGCTCTTCTCCATGTCCATGAGAGCTCCAGACCTTGCAGCCCCAAGCGCCCCCCCCCCAGCACCGACTCCTGCAGGAACCAGATGGCCCCTCACCAGTCACCCTGGGGCCACCCCTGCCAGCCCCTTGCCAAGCTCTTGGGCAGGGGAACTGCTGCACGAAGGCCTGTAGGAAATGTTTTGGTGTGCACAACCTACCTGAGGAGAAAGAAACCCCTTGCCAAGCAGCTCTCTCACAGAGAGGCACCCATCTGAGACCATGGTCAAGCATGCAGCAATGTCACTGCTTTATATCAGTGTCACTTTGCCCTGCAGCACGGAGGTGAAACCCACAGCATAGGCCAGCAGAAGCACTTGCTTCACAGCAGCTTCTCTAAGGACATTACTAGTCCTACTGCTCAACACTGAGGACCCAGCTTCCAACTCAGAGGCCATCTGGAGGCAGCTCTGGGCTGCAGGCTGGTGTGGGTGCCCTGTGTTGTTCCCCTGGGGCCACAGCAGAAAGTGGGTGAGAAGGGAATAGACCTTGTGGATTTGTCCTGAAGGTGCCCCCTGGACTCACTGCACTACTCTGATGGGAGTGTAACATGCACAAAAAACCTTCTAAGAGCTTGTTCTTTGTCTGTGCCAAGAGGCCCTGATGGAACAGCTCACAGCAGGGAATTTCCCAGTGAAAGTGAGTTTCCTAGGGTGCAATTCTCAAGGAGAGGTGAAGAAACCTATTCTTGCTCACTCCAGCACATCCATCATCAGCAGTGATTTCCAACCAAAGCAACTGAGCATGGATCACCAGGCTTCCTTCTCGTCCCTCACACAATAAGGACTAACATCATCCCTCTCCAATGCTTCTTAGTATAGAATGTGGCATTTCTCTTGGGATAACTCCTTTCATAGCCTCCATCTTCTTCCAGCAGCCAAGTTCATAGATACAGCAGCTTTAGGTAAGTGTGGGCCCAAAGGAAAAAGAAAGAGAAAAGCAGTGCAGAAGCAGCCCCGCGTTTTTGTTTGAAGCCCAGATAACTCAGTCCAAATCCAGGACAAGGTGACTCATCTCTAACAGCCCCAAAATGGCAAAGCTGCCATAATGTTTTGTGCTCTGTAGCTGTTTCAGAGGCTGTACAGGAGCTCCCAGATTAGTGCAAGCACCTTGCAGTCTGTGTGTTTGAAGAACAGAATCAGCCAGGGCCCAAGGGAGCAGGAGGAGAACAGAGATGCTCCAGACAGCCTGCAGTGTTGGCATCTGATCCCAAGCCTCCACATGCCTGGGGGGAAGGCAGGCACACGTCTACTTCCTTGCACTTAAAGCTCCCACATTTCCAATTATTGACGGACTCTGAACAGACATTCCACTATGAGACCCACTGAACATCAAAGTCCCACCACAGACACTGTGGCCAATGCCACATCAAGGTAGTGTGGACTGTAGAAACATGACCAGGTTTATCACCTCTTAATTTGGCTTAAAAGTATTTTGCTTTTTACAGTCCTCATGTGTCTTGGGTGTTTTCTGTGGCAGATTGTTTGCTATATTGGAATCTGGTTTGAGCCAGGATGAAGCCAATTTTTATTTTTACTGATTTTTTTTCCTTCAGTAAGCTTTCTTGTAACTAGCAACAGTTTGTTCTGCTAGGCTGATAAGACAGTGGAATGTTTTTCTAACTACTGAGGCTTCAAGGCCGCACCTGCACTCTGCCGGCTCAGACACTATGGGGAGATCTGTGACCCTCCCGTAGGAGGCTGAGTTAGATGGACAGCAAAATTGGCCAAAGATATTCCATTCCATATCTACGTAAGCTCAAAGGAAGGTCAGAGATCACAGAAGACAACTTCCTTCCTTCTTCTCCTCCCCTTCTCTTCCGTCCATGGCCGGCGTCCAGGGAGGACTCTGTTCATCCATCACCGTCAATCCTCAGCCTTGATCTCTCCTGACCCCCATAACTCTCTGCTTTCTCCAGCAGCAGCTCCGGGATTCCTCGGGACTCTTCCCAGTTCAGGGAAGTGCTGTGGGAGTTGCTGGGGGTGGGGGAAGGCGAGAGGCTTTTGCCCATACCTGAACTGTATATAATTGTATATATTTTCTTGTATCATTTATTAGTGTTTTAATTAAAGCTGTGTAGTTTAGTTTTCAATCCAGCCAAGTCTCTCTCTTTTTCTCTCTCTCCTTCCCTACCTGGGTGGGGGGGGAGGGGATCGAGAGCATTGTTGTCGGACCTGAGTCAAACGGTGACAGAATTGCTGACAGCCTCATTCAGGACATTTTGCATAGCAGTCATGAGATTTAACTGTGCAGTGCCTCCTCAAGCCTCTGTGCTTTGAGTTGTGATTCCACAGATCAAAGACAAGAAGGGAACAAGACCCCTTTGCACCTCCTCCAGCAGCCCTTCTCCCTGTTATTCATAGTATCATAGAATGGTTTGGGTTGGAAGGGACCTAGAAGATCATCTAGTTCCAACCCCCCTGCAAAGGCAGGGAAACCTTCACCTAGACTAGGTTGCATAAAGACCTGTCCAACCTGCCCTTGAATACTTCCAGGGAGGGGACAATGTTATTTTGTGCCTTGACGTTGAGACAGGTATCTATGTATAAATACACAGACACACAGAGCAGCCCCCACCCTGGAGTCCTCTCAAGGCTTCCTGCAGAACAGGTCATGCTAAGCCTGGCCATGGTGAGACTGCATGTTAGTCTGGTAATGAAGAAAGGCAAAAAACAGGCATAACTGACCTGCTGGGTTCTTCTCAGGTCTGGGGTGCATGAGACGAAATGGCAGCTCTGTGCCCACTTCACTTTGGGGAGAAGAGAGAATGTATCAGATCCACAGTGCCAGTCATGCCTGATCCAGTCCCCTTCCCCCTCAGGCCAGCTCAAGCCCTCAGCTCCCACTTCATCCATTCTTTCATTTTTCTAATACTGATTTTCTCAACAAAACCAGTCAAATTCTGATTTCTCCACAAATATCCCAGGCATATCCACTTCAATAAACTGGGTTTAGTATGTGCGGAATGTACTTGCATGTACCTAAAACCAGATATATTTTTGTAATTGCTTCATTTTCACAGCAGAGTCCACAAACTACTTATTTTAGTCAGATTAGGAGATAGGTTGTTTTTTGTTTGTGTTCTTTTTTCTAGGGAGGCAAGAAAGGGAATAGGAAAGAGGGTAAAAAGACAAATTAACAACTATGACTGCATGGTCTGGAAAAGAAGCCAACAATTACCTGGAAGTGAGGTCTCCCAGCATGCTACAGAAGACAACAAGGAGATAAACACAAGCATATTTAGTGCCATTCCAGTGCTTTTACCAAATATTGCTTTATTGGTGGACTATTGAATTCACCTTCCTCATACACTCTTCTCTTTTTGCCACATAATGTAACATCCAAATAAACTTGTTTTTAAAAAAGGTAATTTTTATCTCTCATGTTCTTCCCATGGAGAAAGAGTCTGAAGTTTTGGAACTCCTGCCCAGGCCTTGGGCATGGCTCCTGTTCTGAGAGCCAAAGGACAAGGGCAACTGGAGGCCCACAGGAAGCATTTTATCATGCTTTTGGTAAATAATGGACTCATTTTTATATTAAAGAAAAAAGACAGATGAATGAAATACAAATGTAAACTGTGACTATCACCAGAGTTATCCTTGTCCCCTTTTGCACTGTATGATGGGAACAAGCTCATGTTGACAACATCAGCTCCTCCTAGAAAGCTGGCTCAGTACAGAACCTGAGCTACTGTATTTCTGACTCACAGACAGATGTCTCTTGTTTCTGCTCCTGGAGAACAAGAATGGCAACATAAAGGCTTCCCTTCCATTCTCACACAATGAATTAGGCTTTGAAACAAAACAATTGCAATGCAAACCAGTGGTTCATACTGCAGCCATAAAGTCATGTGGTAGGTAGGGAAGGCAATGCAACCCCTCTGGCTTGGGACAAGTTCTTTGGATAGGCCAAGACTGATTCCAGGCAGTTTATACTTTAGAGGGAGAAACTGATATCCTACACCATATTCCCTTTCTCTTAGGGTGGACTGTCCTCCCCTCTCCCCACTTGTCCATGAATGTCACACACTTCCCTCCCTTAACTCCCTGCCGATGGAGCAAAAAGTCCGTTATTCTTACCCTGGAACAGTGAGCTTCACTTTGACCTTGTAGGAAACCAGAATCCCCATCACTGTCTTGTCTATTCCATCCTTAATGCTATCGGAGAGAACAGACATGCCAAATGTTAGGCTGCACAGCAAGAGTGACAATAATTGGCTGCAGCAAGAACGTGGTGATCATCTCACTGTGCACAGCCAAGGCTCAGGGACAGCTCATCCCTGTCCAGATCTGTGACCACTACTCACCATGGATGAGCAGGACAGGCTGTCATGCAGCTTAGACAGACCCATCCAGACATGCATTAACAGTTGCAAACTCCTGCTAGAGTGTCTCCTCCATCCTGCCCTCTTCTTTATAACCCTCCACTAGCTGAGACCACATAAAACTCTACTCACATGGTACTAGAAGCCAAGTTGGTATCTTCATCCTTCAGCTTTCCATCCAGAGCAATTTCCCGGATCTCCCGGTTATTTGCGAGCAAGGGCAAAAGTGTCAGTGTCTTGGTCAGACTGCTGTTTGGCTGCACCTTTTCCCTGAAAATAAGCAGCAAGTGGGAGAAGGAAAGTGATACACTCTGATTTGCATTGCACACCCAACCAAGAGAATTTCAAAACAGATTACAAAGCCAATTCAAAGTGAGGGGGATTTATCTGCCCAAATTTACTTGTCGACAGCGCAGATGTCTGCATCTAAACCAGTCAGAAAAATTCCTTTTATAATCAGCAGAAAGGAACAAGCACTTGCAGGAAAGGATTAATTTCACATTAAGGCAGGTTTTTAAAGTAGGTCAAACTATGCTGCAGACCTCTACATTTGGACAAAATAAGTCCTTGTTTAGAAGACCAGTTCTCAACGGAAAACATGTCCCTGAGCTATAGAGCAAAAAGCCCAGAAAAATATGGAAATGCATGGGTGTATCCAACCCTCCTCACAAAGAAAAGTTCAGTGCTGAACTACCAAGGCAGGGCAATGCAGAAGAGCAAGTGGTTCTCCACACTGTCAGTAGGCTCATGGGCTTCCCAAGGCCAGAAGAACTGAAATTAAATGGTGTGAAGAAGCCTGACCTCAAGCTAGAGCATCCATGACTTCCACTCAAACAGCAGCACCTTTCAGGAAAATGTTGCAGCTCTATTTAAAGGTTTCAAGCAATGGGGAGCCTTGCACAGCCCCTGCTAACTTTTCAAACAAACCTCACTTTCTGCAGCCTCCCCATGGTTCTCTGGAAATAGCTACAGGGTACCTGTTGGCTAAGAGAACAGGAGATCAGCTGCATCCAGAGAGTACAGTTGGTGTGGGGGACACACAGGGCTGTGAGGAGAGAGCAGGTAACAGCAGGACTGCAGCGAGGAGCACCTCCCAGTGCTGAGGAGGGAGGTAATTAAAAGGGTGTGAAAGAGCAAAATGGGATAAGCAGAATATTCACTCACTGTGCTTCCTCAGCAGCTACCACTTTTGTATAGTAGTCACTGGAGTACAAAACCACATTGGCAACCTGCTCCACTGAGTGAGGAAGGAGAAAGAGGATAATTAGTTGTGCATACACAGAAGAAATAAGAGCCACTCACCCCGAGCCTCAGGAATGGACTTGATGAGAACAGCAGGAAAACCCCTACATTGAGAGCTTGAAGGGATCAGTCAGTCTGACCTGGAGAGAGAGAGAGACCAACAGCACACAAATGGCCGAAGACTATCTTCCCAGAAAGATATCCAGCCTTGATTTGAAGGGGACAAAAAGGCGATAACCCATCATTTCCCCTGGGAAACTGCTCTTGCCATTATAAAGATCTCCCTCTTCTTCTCTAAGCGTGTCCAACTTTTATCCCTGTGTGTATCCATAGCCCACACATTTGCATTCAGGAGACACTACCATCAAGCAGACTGGACACCAAACAGCAGCCAAGAGCCTGTGATAATAAATGGCTTATATTCTCCAATCAAGCACCGAAAAACCACAGGCTAAGTCTGACTGACACAGATGAGTGTTTCACTGTCAGCAGACAGCAACAGACACGGTGGAGGGACCAATTCCTGATTTGTCCTACACTGCCTAAGCAGTTACAAGTGCTAGATCCTGGCTCTCTCTCAGCCCTCCCACCATCCAGTCTTATAGCCACCAAAGAATCCCAAGCAACAGTAGAACATACCCTGGACTTTGACCTTCTTCACCGTTTTGTCTGTGCTGTTGTTGATGGTGACAGTCACTGGGATGGGCTCACCATGGTAGTACACCTAGAAGGGATATGATGCTCAGAAATCCAGCCAGGAGGCTCCTCCTGGGCCCTATACTCCCCCCAGATTAAACCTCTTCACAGGCCTGATGAAGCAAGATGCCCCTTCCCCTCCTTCAGTATCTCCTTTAGCTTCAGGTGCCTCTTGTAAGGGGTCTCAGCCTGGCCTGACAGCAGCCAGTGGCAGAAAGTGCACCTAAGCCCTTGAGTGCTGGACCAAGCCAGCCTCAGCTGAGACCATCTGAGTAACACACCAAGCTATTGGCATGTCCACAGCCCCGGGGAAAACTCCTCACCTCTTTACTGAGGCAAGCTTTCAAGTGTAATGGCTTGTTAGACATGAAGAACTGCCAGGTGCTCTCAGCGCAAGGTTGGGGTCCTGAAGTTTCGGGAGCGTATTGCACCTTGCGGATCAGCAAACGTGCAGAGTCCCTGGGAAGGAGCAGAGGACAACATGGTGTCACCTCATGCTTGGTGGAGGAAAGAGCTCTGCATTCACATGTGTTTACACTCAAGAAGTCCACTGACGAGTGGGTGCAAGCTGAACAATCAACCCAGGTGTGTTACCCAACCAGCAACACACCCTTTAGGAAGGGCAAAGGTGAAGATAGACACACATACCTCTTATGAATTCTCTCTTCCAGGTTATCTGTTGAGAAAGCTTTTACTTCAAAGTCCACCCCACAGCTCTGCCAGAGAGGGAGAAGACAGCTGTGAAACCAGTGTTGGAAGCCAAGAACATCTGCAGATGTTTAAATATCTTTCTGGACCTCAGAAACTGGCAAATTCCTGCCAGCTGCCAGTTCTTCTGACCTCCTACCATTGTAGTAGAGATCCCTGCCAACTAGTGTGGCAGCAGCCACCTGTTTCATGCTGCTTTTGAGAGATGAGGCTTAATTCCCAGCCTTTGATGGATGACATCCCTACTCCTACCTGGCTTTTGGTGAGAGCAGTGGGGTAGAGGCCACATCTTGCTACTGGTTATGAGACTGAGCAGCCTGCAAGGCTCCACCTTGGCTTTCTGAACTGGATTTCTGAACAACTTTGTCTTGCCAACACCTTGACTTAAGCTCAACCTTCTTGCTTCCTAATGTCTAGAGGCCAGGCTGCCCTTTGTTTTAATGGCCTCATACTGCCCTGGGACATCTCTGAGTCCCGGGTAACTTTCTGTGGAGAAGATGGGCATTTTTGCTAGAAATGCAGTTCCTTGGCAAAACCACAGCTTTTCCTTTGGGCACAAGATTCTACAACCTGCATCCCACCTTGCACAGTGGCTACTCTAGCTCAGCTGTTCAGGTAAGTGTCCAGTGAAGAATAAAAGGCATATTTTAGACCCAAACCATAGCAATGGTGTCCAAAACCTTTCAGAACATCTCATTATCTGGTGGTTTTGTTTTGCTTAGACACATGTGAGCCAGCCCTCCTCTGCATTTGTCTTAATTCAGAAGTAGGTCTTAACACATGCTGTTTATAGCAATCTGTGAGGTTTTAGGCACTTTTAGGTACACCTTTTCTCTCACACAGCCTGACAGCTACAATTGTTTGATGTGCAGCTAATCCACAAATCATGTGGTACTGATGGAAACTACAGGTGCTGCGGGTTTAATGGTCTTGCTATTTGACTACATTCCCTTTCTTATTCTGAGGACTCAAGTTCCAAGGCTGTGACATGCCCTTGCATCTCTGAAGTCAGGCTCCTGCCACTTGTGGTGTAACTCAGCAAACACCAGTATCACCCTGCTCTGCTCTCAAGGTAGCCAAATAAATTCACATGACTTTTTCCATTTGACTTTCCTCAACCATGATAAGCACTAGTGTCTCACTGGTCTCACCTTATCAACATCACGAGGTCCAGGCTGCAGACAGACTGAACAGGGCAGGTAATCTGGAAACTGTGGGAGGAAGAAGAGAAAAAAACAACAACTCCAAAGCAATATTACAAAGATTTCCAACTCTGTGATACCCTAATTGACATGTTGCTCACAACAAGTACAAAGCAATCCTGAAGACAACCGGTCACTTGCTGTAATGTAGTAACTCCTGGAAGTTCTGGCTGAGATATGAGCCTTGATATACTGGGCCTTAGACTTGCCTTGTATGGATAAGTCCCTCTCTTCCAAAAATACTTCAATGGCCAAGGAACTGGGGGGGAAAGGCAGGGCAAGAGAGAAAATATAAACCAAGCCCAGGCACATGAAGCTCCTGGTCCAAAAATCAAGCAGAGCCCTAGAGGCACCACTTAAGAGTAGGAACTGGAAGATCTGGCTCCCCATCCAAGATAATGAGTACAGCTCCCAGCAGTGCTACTCACTGTCCACCTGGGATGGAAGCTTGAACAAAACATCTCTGTGTCAGAAACACAACTATGGCCATGCAGAGCAGGCAGCCACCAGCCAGTGTCCATCCATGTCTGGGCAGGGCAGCAGCTCCAGACATCAGGTGGGAAAGGCTGCAGGGCACCTGATGGAGATGGAGCCCCGACACTCATTAGACTCCAGCAGCATGAAGATCAATAGATTGCATGGGAGTGGTTAGAACAACAGGTACCAACCCACTTAGTAGAATCCTTCAAAGGCTTCTTTGTCCTCCCCCTCTACTCTGCCCTAGTGAGACCACATCTGGAGTTTTTTGTCCAGTTCTGGGCTCCCCAAGTTCCAGAGGGATAGGGAGATGCTGGAAAGAGTCCAATGGAGGCTGATGGAGGGACTGGAACATGTGTCATATGAAGAAAGGCTGAGAGAGCTGGGGCTATTTAGTCTGGAGAAGTCTGAGAGGGGACCTTATTAATGTGTAGAAATATCTGCAGGGTGGGTATCAAGAACGGGCCAGTCTCTGTTCAGTGGTTCCTGTGACAGGACGAGGGGCAATGGATTCAAACTGGAGCCCAAGAAGTTCTACCTCAACATGAGGAAGAACTTTTTTCCTGTGATGGTTACAGAGCCCTGGGACAGGCTGCCCAGAGAGGTTGTGGACTCTACTCTGGAGACTTTCAAGACCTGTCTGGACATGTTGCTGTCTGATCTGTCCCAGGTGTTCCTGCTCTGGCAGGGGAGTTGGACTTGATCTTCAGAGGTCCCTTCCAACCCCTGTGATTCTATGATTCTAGGATCTCAGAGCATGTGGTTTTCAAACCTGGATTTTCCAAGGGAGCACTAAGGCAGATGTGTCACTGACAGGACTGGAAGCATATCCTGTCAGAACTGGGATTTGGCAATCAGCTGCTCTTTGTTGACAACATCTGGTAAAGAGTTTTTCATCTGCTTGTTTGATTTTTAAAGAGAAAGGACTTGGCACTTTGTGAACACTGGGGCAATGGTACAAAGTGTTCCAGCTGCTCAGGAATGGGGAAGCTAAGGATATGTGGGACTGTTGCTGACATAAAGCCACTGCATGATTCCTTGCCTGTTCAAGGAAGCACTTTTCACTTGCAGTTGAGTTATTTGGGCACTTGATCACTTAGGATGATAAGGGAAAAAAAAGTTACACTGCTTGTCACTCAAAACTGGAACTTTGCATTACAGGAATTCATCATTAATCCCTGTCTTCAGTCCACCACTGGGTCTCAGCAGCCTGGTAATAACAGTATCACAGTATCACTCTGGTTGGAAAAGACCTTCGAGATCATCGAGTCCAACCACCACCCTAACTCTGCCACATCCACCACTAAACTCTGGCCCTGTCTCCAGGGATGGTGGCTCAACCACCTCCTCGGACAGCCTGGATCACCCAGTCCAGCTCCTTCCCGAGAACAGGACACTACTAAGGTCACTCCATGAGAGGCAAGGAGAAGAGGGTCAGAGCCTCTCATGAGATCCGTACCGTAAAGAAGAAGGGATAAGCATTTTTCCCCAGCTTCTTTAACAGAGATTCCTGCAAGTGGGAGAGTGACTCTGGCTTGTCAGCAGGTGGGTACACTTGGACCCTTGAGAAAAACAGGTCTCTTCGGAAGGTGAGACCAATCACATCGATGTCCTCCTGGCCATACCGGAACGCACAAGTCAGGGACACGTACACTGGAAAGAAGCACAGGACAGGTGAAGCTTGCAGCAGGCTAATAGTGCAGCCAGAGTAGGAGATGAAAGCCTCCTGCACTATGGAGTCAGGGAAACCCATTTTAACACTGCTGTCTTGCCTGGTGAGTAATTGTAAGATAATTACATTTGTATCCTTAAAACAATGAGGAAGGTTCTATCTCAGCATCTCACTGAGCAGAGGACTAACAATCTCTGAAACAGATGCTGTGGAAAAGCTCAAACCTTTTTTCTCCTTGATAAGTGAAGGATCCACCAAGACAACACCATCTGAAAGAAAGGAAAAAATAAAACAATTGATAGAGGATAATGAGGGTTGAGAGGGCAGGAAGGGCAGCCTGTATCCTGGTGGACTTACCTACAGGTTCCACATTCCCCACGTTGTCCACAAAGTCCCGCTTTCCCAGGTAGATGGTCAGCTGTAGGGAGAAGATGACCATGGCTGAACTACAAAGTGGTTGTGTGGTTGTGTGTTGGTGGGGTGACATCCAGCAGAGAGCTATAAATCTTGTAGAGATCAGAACAATTCCATTTTAAATGGACTTTTTTCCACCAGCAAACATACAATCCCCACCAGACTCACCAGGATTATTCAAATGCTTCAGGACATCAGAACTGAAGGCCTGATGTAGACCAGCTCCCAAAAGTACAACATAAATACTTGTGCATGGGACAAAGAACTACAGATTTAGACTTTTGTGCCATCAGGTTACAAAGACAATGAATCTGCTTTGTTTTAAACAGTTAGGAGCAGGAGCACAACCAAGGAGGAGAGAGAGGCAAATTGCCTTTCTCTTGTATAAGAGATACATAAGAATATACCCCTGTGAACCTTGTTTATGTCATCTCCTCAAACTTAGTGCTAAATACAGTTCATGGTCCTTCTGAAAAAAAATGGAGATAGGAAAGACCTTTCTAATAAGTCTCCAGTCAGACTACAAGTAAAACTCATACCTACATAAACCCATTATTATGGTACTTACAGCTTTGTCACGGGTGCTTTTTTTGAAGATAACTTGTTTATCTGAACTAGCATTCTTCCCACTTGTCTTTTGAGACTCAGGGCAGCTCATGGTCCAAGATGGGTGTATGACTGTGGGGAAATGAAGAAAAGGTCCTGGGAAAGATGTCAGAAAAAAAAAAAGTGGATGACATAAAAGTGGAATTATACTTGGTGGGTAAAGCTCTCCACTCCCATGTGTAGTTTACCAAAGATTATTTCAATAGATACTCAAATGCAGCACAGAAGGTGCATTTCCTCATTTTAGCAGTTCCTCATTAAAAAAACCCACAAACATATATTTTAAAAACAGCTCTTCAGAAACTTCACAGAAGACCAAGAACTCATTTAAATTCATAATTTAAAAAAAAAATAGTTGACTAACAGAAAAAATCTGGAGGGGAAGGGATAGCTTGGCCTTTGCATAGAGGTTTGGAGAAAGTAACATTGTGAAGAAACCTGTGAGAGTACAGATAAAGGTAACATGAGCTGCACAAGGCACTTTGATTTTCAAAAGGTACCTCAGGATTTGTCATCAGAGGCTCTAAATTGTTATGAGATAAGAAAGAAGATCATCTCACTCATTAATAATGGGATAAAACATAAGGATGGGGTGGGTTTGGCTACTTTCAGGGTTTGGATTTTTTAGGGCAATTTTGTTTGTTGTTTTGGTTTTTTTACCATTGTAAGTGTACAACAGTGCAGTGTCATCTGTCCTGGGACATTTGCTAGTGAGCATATAGTCCTTGAATGAAGCGGAAGAAGCCCAGGTAAGGAGTGAACAGCTGCTCACAGGCACAAGGCTGTTCTGGGCTCCCCAAAATAAAGCTATTCATTTGGAAGAGTGTTTCATGATGCAGAATGGATAGGTGATAAACACCCTGTATTCTGTGATTGTCAGTGAAGAGTATTGCACTTAAAATCTAGCTGTAGTCTGGTGCTCACAGGTACACTTGCTATCAATTAGGAAAAATGACTTGACATAAGTTATGTGGAAATAAATCAAGACCACAGAAAGTGCCATTGATACCACTATAGAACCCCTCTCATTCCCATGTCTTGGATCCAGCATGCTCAGTCTGAGACCTGGAAAGGTGGCATGCTTGGTAAGAAGTTAGAGCAAACCCAAAATCAGACCTCATCTGTCCTGCTGTATTTTCCTAAATCAGAACCAAATCCAACCCATTACTTGCAAGGTATCATTGAACTCAAAACCCAAAGGGCCTTCAGAACAGAACAGTCCAGCCCAGAGAGGTAACAAATATAACCAGGGGCAGGGAACAGTGTGTACCCTAGGAAAAAAACATAGAAAAAAAAAGATGTAATTTGATTATTCAGGGGAAATAAAAAAAAGGACACAAGATATCCAGAGAGATGTCCAGAAAACATGAGTGGTACAAAGTGGAGAGAGGTTAGTTTTTCACTTTGTCGCATCCAATTAAGGGACCAGGCAGCAAATTGAAAATAAAGTGCAGCATTTCCCCCATGGCACAAGACTCCAGAGTATAGCATGTTGCTGCAGAAGGCTCTGGGAATCACCAACATGAATCCATTCCCAGGATTGGATGCACTGAGAGGGAAAAGGCTTTTGGCAGATGTCGGACAAGATGCTTCAGGCACAACCATGACCATGTAAGACTCTGAAGCTGAGGAGCATCAGGAAAGGACAATGCCACATGTTCCCTGTTCCGACATTTCTCCCTGGGGGACCTGTGCGATTAGCACACTGTGTCAGACAGATTGCTGCTCCAGCAGTGTGCCACCAGCCTTACTTCCATTCCATTCCATCCCATCCCATTCCATCTCATTCCTTGCTTTCCCATTTTAAAACTGTTTAAGAGCAGAAACAGTTTCTAGTCCCTACTTGGACACAACAGACTGTAGAAAAAGGAAATCTATTTTTTCTAGCTTGCTAAGAAGGAAAGTAAGGTAAGGATTAGAGACCAACCTTCATGTGTTCAAGTATTTGTACCCTTATGAACTGCAGGTAGGTTTCCCAAGTCCAGAACAGCATTTGCTGCTGAACAGACACCCTGCTTGGGCTGTAGACCCAAATGAACAAGCCAGCAAACAACAGCAAATACCTTGTGTTCAAATGCCACAGGAGCTGCCACAGGACGAAGATGTGAACTCCTAAGCCACTGAAGAAAGATGAATTCTGCACGCAGCTGTGTCCTGTGCTCCTTCACACCTCCCAGAGGGAATCACTGACTTCTTAGCAAACAAGGATGACAATTTGTAGGGGATTTGAAAGCACGTCTCTGGTTGCGTCCATCCAGGATTTCAAGAATTAACGCCCTCCAAGAGCAAATATTGTACCTAGGCTAAGATTCAACTGGAAAGTGGTTAAGTCAGCAACACAGAGCATTACCTAAGGAAGCTCAGATGGTCAATGGAAAGGTCTACAATGTCATACTCACATGCTCTGTAAGGACTACAGACTTATATCAAATGGGATGGTCACTGAAAGCAGCTTTATTCTAAATCTCTTTCTCTTGTCTTCTCCTTCCTAGGGCTGCAAGCCATCCAGCCTGATAAGAAGCTGAAGAGACATAAGCCATTTATGTAAAAGGGAGTTTATAAAAGACCAAAGCAAGTCTCTGTAACTACCTGCCATTACAAAGGACCACCAAACATTGAGAGCCATGCAACTGTTCTCAAAATCACTAAGCAGTTTTTGTTGCTCCACCAACACACCATGGGCATGCTGAGGCCAAACCACATGTTGCTAGCAAGTACACCTCTTCCTTAATAGGAGGTGACACACACCACCAAGATGTGAGACGTGAGCAGATATTTCAATCACTTTAGCTTCTCTGTCCATGAATGTGCCAATAGCTTCCCCCCCCAGTTAAACTTGGTCTTGATATTATACAGGATAGGTGTAATTGTTGGCTTGCGAGCTGCACAAACAGCTGTAGCTGTAGCCCCCCAGAGGGGTTGCATCTGTCTGGTTGTCTGTCCCTTCTAACCTCTCTGCTTGTGAGCCTGAACAGCACCCTCCATCTCAGGCAGTCCTGCAGCCAATAACCAAGCTTGCTTTTAGCAAACAATCACCAACATTTGCCTGAAGACAATGGCCTGGGTACACAAATTATTTTAAAAAAGAGGCAGTTCCTCAGCTCTTTCAGTGTCTTCCAAATGCCAGCAACATTTTATTAACTGGAAATGGATTATTTAGAGAGTTTAACCACTGCTTAAGCAACTCTGGGAAAGACAGACCAGCCAGCCCTAAAACATGGAAATGCACATGTGCCTGTGCTCCTGAGGAGAGGCAGATCCTGGTTGTTGGAAGTGGGGAAGAGGCCCCAGAAATTACCCCACAAAAATCAACAGCTTCTATTCAGTCTCACAGAGCAAAAATAAAAATGATAAAGCTGTTGCTCTTTTAAAAAGCTTGTGCTGCTGCCACTGCAGGATTATCGGCTCTTCAGGAGGGGAATGAACATCCTCATTAGACCTGCTACTCTTTTGAGGGTCCAGGATGTGTGGGTACATGTGCTACTGTGAACAGCTTCAGGGGGGCTTGGAAGAAGCTTCTCCAAAACACACACTTCCCCATTTCCCCCCCATGCTCAGTCCTGGTGAGGGGGCTCCTCAAATCCTGCCGTCAGCTTTGGGCCCCTCATGACAGGGACATGGAGGGACTGCAGAGTGTCCAGAGAAGAGCAGTGGAGCTGGGGAAAGGGCTGGAGTACAAGTCTGAGCAGAAGCAGCTGAGGGAGCTGGGGGTGCTCAGCCTGGAGAAAAGGAGGCTGAAAGGAGACCTGCTGGCTCTGCAACTGCCTGAGAGGTTGGAGCCAGGGGGGTTGGTCTCTGTTCCCAGGGAATAGGTGGCAGAGCAAGAGGAAATGGCCTCGAGTTGCACCAGGGGAGGTTTAAATTGTTCCCAATATCCAATTTCTTCCCCAAAAGGATTGTCAGGCCCTGGCACAGGCTGCACAGGGCAGTGGTGGAATCCCCATCCCTGGAGAGGTTCCAAAGCCATGTAGATGTGGTGCTGAGGGACATGAGTTAGTGGTGGCCTTGGCAGTGCTGGGTGATTGGACTTGATCTTAAAAGATCTTTTCCAACCAATTCTATGATTCCAATGCAGCCTTACATCTGGAGAAAGGTGCCCATCCCCTGACTCCCTCAAAACCACTTGAAGGGCAGCTCCATATTCAGCAGAGAAACAGTGGAACAGCCACCTCAGCACAGCAGGTACCTTATTTTCTTCCCTTCATAAGGCTGAAGCAGAGAAGTGGGCAATAGAAGCAAACAGACAAACTATAGCAAAAGAAGCTAAAATTTGTCACTAGAATTTCCTACATACCTTAGTCCTAAGGAATTTTAATCTAGAAGGTCTTAGCTAGGCAGCCATTATCCTCAAGTATTATCAACCTACTTCGTAACAGCATCAACAGGCAAAACAGAGCCCTTTGTGTCTGTGACCATGCTGTAAAAAATACAAGTATAGCAGTCTAAATTATAAACATCCTAAACCCATTCCAATCTGCCTCAGCAGAGCCTGCAGAGTTTTTATTATGTTAATCTCCCAATAATCTTTCATCATGCTGACTTGTCATTTAGTGATCTGCTTTTCCACAGTAACCAAGGTCAGCTGGAGTCTTGGAAGGTGTCTTTACAAGAACCTCCTGCCACAGCAACAGACAAAAGCAAAATATCTTGCTACAGATGTCACTTCCAAGAGCTGGACAGAAGGCTGCTCCTATGAAAACAGCAGGGTGAGCAGTGGTGGCTCTTAGTTAGATGTGAACTTTGTACATTAAACAGCTGAAGGCTTTGCTTCATTACCCTGAAGTAGCATTATCTTAAAACAGGTTTTTTGTGGTTTTAAAGCAATGTGCAATTCCTATTACTAGCTTAAAAACTTCACAAGGCAGCAAAGTATCAGAGCAGAAGAAGCCTTCTATTTTCAGCAGTGTCTGAAACAGAGATACCGATTTCCTTAATTCAGTAATTTATCCAAGACATCCAAGTATACATTAACCTCTCCAGGACAGAGATACTCATTCTACCTAGCAAGGCTTCCTTCAGTCTCAAGGCAGCATTCCTGAGATGGGGCAAACCAAGCTGTTATCTGTGGGATGTCCAGCTTCAAGTTAAGAGCATTATCCTCTTTCCCCCCTACACCAAACCCCCCAACGCAGCTGAACACAAACCCACAATTCACTGCAAAAACATAGCACAGAAAAAGACATTTCAGGTTCTCTTGTCTGCTCATTCAGAACAAGATCTCACACACAGACACAAATGAATCAGAGCATTGTGGGGTTTTAAAAGCAGAACACAGGTTTATTTACAATCAAGTTCTTATGGGCAGCTGAATAAATAAAAAATTTGCCCCATATACTCCAATTCCCCTCTGCAGAAAGTGTTTGAACAAAAGACTAGGTTAGAGAGATGCCTGTTATAGCAGCTACCCCCTAATCCAGCCCCTCCAAAGAACACACTTTCTTAGTAAAACGCTATCAGGGAAGAAGAAAATAAAGTGCAAATAAAAAGGCAATAAAACGCTGGTGGCTTGTCTCGAGGCCCAGATGATGTGGAAAGGTTTGACTGGATCAAGTTACGTCAGGTAGCTCACATCCAACCACATCTTGGTTATGGATGCTCAAACAGGGACATAGCCAAGACACTGCTCTGCAGCACAGAGGGCTCCAGCGCAAACAGGAATATTGCACGTGTGCTCAAGATGGGGGCAAATGGCCTGGATTCGCCAGCATCAAAACCATGGATTTGGGATTTAACTCCACTGCTCCCCTGTGTTCTACTGACAGCCGCCAGGACAGGACGGATGAACAGAGAAAGGGGCCAAACATCTACACTCTGGTACCAAAGTCACAGTATGACTACGTTCCTTATCACAGCAGCACAACAAAAGTAGAACTTCTCTCTCCTCACACCCAGTACCCAAGCTGTCTGTGGAATAAAGATTTAAAACCTCCTATTTTTGTGATACCCAAGCTGCTGAAGGGCATTTTAACAAATGGCTGCAGAAGTCCTGAAGAAGAGACCATTGCCTTAAGGACAGGTGAAACCAACTCAGAGTTCACATGACAGTGCTGGAGGACTGGTGCCAGGATCAGAGCAGACCTTACTTGAACTGGGAACTCAAAGGGAGAGCTGCCAGAGCCACAGGAGACAACCTTCAAAAGCTGTTCCAACACTCCAGACTGTCTAGGCCCTGTCCACATTTCAGGATCTTGCCAACCCATACCTGAACCAGGCCACAAGAACAGAACGCAGGAGACAGGACACGTATTAAGTCAGCATACACAGTAACTTCTTTCCAGCTCAGAAGTGCCGTCGACTCATTTGTGTGACAGGGTATTTGGCACAGCTGCCTGGTGAGGAATCCCACTAATATCTTCAGCTCCACTGGTGCATAGATACTGCATGTAAAGGCAGGACTAAGGAGCATTCTCCATCCAGAGCAGCTAATCCCTTGCTGAGTCCAAATGCCACAGTGCAGTTATGACCACAACAAGTCTGACTCAGACTCCTTCTCCATTGCTTTAAACCTTTCCTCTGGAAGTGAAGACCATGTGCTTGTCAATATCCCTGCTCAGGATGGATTTGTGCTGGGGTGTCCGTGCTGTGGGCCCTGGCCCGCTGGTCACTCTGCCTTCCACCCCCTGTTGGGTCAGAACTCGGCCCACAGGACAGCCTTGTTCCCTTTGTCCACACTCACCACGTGGGCACCTGCTGGGGACCACGCCACTGCGTTGATACAGGAGCTGCAAGGGAAGCCAGATGCCAGGTTAGAAGAAAGCTGAATTCCATGACAGCAGTTAACACTGGAATGAAACATGAGAGCACTCTAAATATCAAAGAAAAGGCACTTTCTTAGCTCTCAAAAGACTCTTGCTTTTGGTAAGCCTAAGAGAGATGCATTTTCATCTGAATATATTAAATGCGTTTTATTAGAATCATCTCAATAACAAACCTAACCTTACTTCTAGAGAATAGTGCCATGAATCCACAAAGGATCTGCATACTAAAATTCTCACACTGCACCAGCAGTTACAAAGCTGTGTGACTCCAGCTCTTCCATAGCTCAACAAGATCCACAACCCAGATCCCCACTTCAGAGCACACAGCCAGTTTCCTCTCACCTGTGATGCTTTGCAAGTGTCCTCTCCAATTTCCCAGTGAGCACATTCCAAATGTAGAGGGCCCCATCAGCTGAACCAGCAGCCACATAGTTACCATCAGGGCTAGGAGACCAGAGAAGGTGCAGAAGGAAAGAAGACATTTTAATGACAGCAATTTGTCAACACAAATCATCGTTCCACTCTCAACTTCCTAAACAAGTAACTTGGCATGAAATAATCTTTTCTCATGTGTTACCAGCTGCTAAGATGTGAAAGCACTTTGGAATCAGAAGGCCTCCAAGACACTGGATCAAGATCTACAGACACACTCTGTCTTGACCAAGAGGTAACCTTGGGAAAATCACACACTCTGCCCCAGTTTTTCTAGCTGCAAATGGGGACAATGCAGCCAAGCATCATGGATCCCTTTTGCTGGGTAAAGATTTATCAGATATCTTGCTTATATTAAACCTTACCTGAACACAACTCTTGTCCAGTCAGAGCCACATTTGAATCCCTGGGCGCTGCAAAGTGAGAATCAGAGAAGTGTAAATTCATTTTTAAGAAGACAGACTTCCAGGATCTCACTGAGGAGCATCGTAAGGATTTCTACATGGTTCAGAATAAGATTCAATTTCCCTTTATCACAAGGTCAGATTTCTCATATATCCTCCTCCCAATCACATCTGACCAAATACATTCCTCTAGGCCAAAGACTTCTAAGCCAACCTTTCTTCTTCAAAGAGGTAAATAAAAAGGTCCATCAGAGCAGATCTTTGCTGTTAAGACTTCAGAGAGAACTTAGCTACCCACTGCAAAATAGTCCATCACTGAGGGCAATCTTCAATCCAAAATGTTGAAATTCATCATGTTCTTGTGGAGAACACTCACCTGAAAGTCTGCTTGACAGCACTAACCCGCAGGTCAATGATCTTCAGTAGATCATCGCGGGAACAAGTCAGAAGGTCTGTTCGCTCTGAGTTCAGGTCCAGAGCTGTGATTCTTCCAAGCAGCTCCAGTTCTTTTACTATGCTTTCAGTCCTAAAGACAGAAAGAAAAAAAGAGAGAAAGAAACAAAGAGAGAATAAGCCAGGGTCCAGAAGCCAAACCACTGCATCAAAACTTGTCCCAGTGTGGAAGAAGATAAAAAGAATTACTGGTTTATCCTCACATTTTGATTCTTTCCCAAGCTAGACCTCACTCTGTGGATAACATCTCCAGCCAATAATTATATGCTATTTTCACCACAACTACCCCACCCTCTGAATGACATCTAGAACAGCAAGTACTGAGCAATGCAAGATATTTACAAGAAAGCAGACTGCCTTTTCAGATGCCTTTCTGCATCCCCCCACAAAAAATCCAAAACCCAAACCACCAAACAGAATAAACACAGTGACAGAAGTCTCCTTCAATGGCCTTCTGCAGCTCTTAGAACAGTCTCAATAGCTTCCAGCCTTAGGAAGAAGAGTTCCCTTGTTCACATTTTAGTCAGCCAGCAATCTCATAACCATTCCTACACTATGTGGTCTCTCACAAGTTTTACCTGATGTCCCAGAAACGAATTTTCTTATCAAAATGTCCACTCATTACACATTGCTCAGTACAGACGATGTCGTTGCAGCTAGATCCTGCAAACACTGTTTTTATACCTGGAAAAGATAAGCCAACAGTGACACAATTAATTTTATACTGTACAATCTGATGAAAACAGAGACAGAAAATAATCACTGTACCACACACAATGGCCACACAGAGCAGCATCCAAGGAGTGCCTAAGGGCAGGCAAACTCTGGATTGGAATAATCCTGACTTAAGCCTTCAACAACCTCTCTGTCCTTCTCAATCTCCATGGCTAATATCCCTTTAAAGGCTCTCACAACAGCAGCTTTACTTCCATTTTGTTACTAAATAACATGAACTGTCTCCTTGACCTATGTTTGCGGTTCAGGTATCAAGGTAACCCTGAAGGTCAACTTTCCCTAAGTGCAAGCAGGTTTAAAAGCCATCAACAGGAGAAAAGGCAAGGAAATAAGGTGCTGCTCCTAAAGAAATATCTGGATCCTAGTGTTTTCTTCCTTTGAGATGTTGAAACTTTTGGTACTTTTCCAAGTGACATTTTCATCCACTTCAGGGTTAAAAACTCTGACCTGGCTCCAAGTCTTTAGTGGAAGACTGAATCATCCACCCCCACCATGATAAACAAAGAATACTCAAAGAACACAGCTGCTCTTAGTGTAATGGAATTAGCAGCAATTCCTGCATGCACACAATTTCTTATTCTGATTTCAGGTAACAGGCAGAAAGAATCTGATTACTTGAACAGGAGCAGAAGATGGCGTGGCTGCTGGCTTTTGCTGTTTTAGCCTAGTGAGAGGATGATACAACCTGGCTGATGGCAGAATCCCATTTACACTCAGCAGAAGCACAGAACATGGGTGAAAGACAGAAGTCTTGTTTCCTTACAAACTTTGCTGCGGAGGTCCCAGAGCTTGAGGGTCCTGTCATGACTCCCCGACACGATGCGCGCGTTGTCCAGCAGGAACTTGGCTGACAGGACCTTGCCACTGTGACCTGTCAGGGTGTGCTGGGGATGAGAGATTTACATGGTTAAACTGCACCCTTCCACTTGTTCGCAGCTAACTAGTTCTCCTATTTATTAACTCAAAGAATCTTAAACCATAATTTGTATTTCTGCTGCATTCCTTGGAGAAAAAACAACTATTCTGGCTAAGACTGAGTAGGAGTGTTAAGTACCACAGAGCTCAGGCTGCAGCTGGGGACACAAGTTCCCCTTGGTGGCAGCTTCTCTAGCTCCTCAGGGAACCTACAAGGTCTCTTCCAACAGTCCACACACCTACACTTCATGGACAGATGGCAACTACTACACAGCCTTGCAGCAGTGACAACAAGAGGTTAAAGCATGCTGAAATGGAAATTGTGTCTTCAGCTTTTTATTATGAGCTTCTCTCAAGGATACAACAGGGTCTATAGTATCAACTGTTGTTACATCTTCAAGCCTGAAAGCTGAGACAACCAGAGATTGCAGAAAAGCTCCCCGTGGCAGTTTCTGTAACTGCAGGGGTAGGCTCTGTGGGGCTAAGAACATGAACCATGCTCACTTCTAATTGCTGAATTTACATACTCAATCACAAACCAGATAATGAATGACTGAAGAGAGAACTGAAAAATGAGAGAAATCTTTGGTATGTAGTTAGATTTTTGTAACTACTCAAAGGACTACCAAAATCCAGAAAAGCCTGAAACAACAGAAAGGAATGGGAACAAAGTTTGGAAAAAAGCAACCCTGATGCACAACACAAACTCTGAAAGAACACATCATTCTATAAAGACCACTTTGTCTTAAGAAAGGACAAATTCCAGAAAGGAAGATCTAAACTTCACCCTGCTTATCTCTTCTGCTCTTGCTGCACAGCCATTAGGTACAGATATTTGCATTTTAGTAGGGAGTTTGTGGCCAAATTTACCATGATTTCAACTTCACTGTCTCCTGCTCACATGCAAACCATGACAAACCAACACCACACACACAAAGGAAAGAATGAATCAGAGAATCACAGAAAGGCTTGGGTTGGGAGGGACCTTAAAGATTGTCTAGATCCAACCCCTCTACATGGGCAGGGACACCTCCCATTAGATCAGGTTGCTCCAAGCCCCATCCAACCTGCTCTTGAACATTTCCAGGGATGGGGCTTCCATGACCTCCCTGGGCAACCTCTACCAGTGTCTCTCACCACCTTGACATTAAAGAATTTCCTCCTAATATCTAATCCAAATCTCCCCTCTTCAAGTTCTAAACCATTGCCCCTTATCCTCCCTCTACATGCCTATGGAAAAAGTCCTGCCCTAGATTTCTTGTAGGCTTGTACCCTTTAGGTATTGGAAAGCCACTATTAGGTCACCTTTAAACCTCTTCTTCACCAGGCTGAACAACCCCAACTTCCTCAGCCTATCTTCATAGGGGAATAGAATGCACTGTTTTCTCTCAGCAAACAGTGAATGCACTCACCCAAAGCTGGTGGTCACCGAAGACACCAAAACATTACAGGAAGATACTATGTAGCCAAGGTGGATGCTTGCAGGGATAACTATCTTTCTGTAGGGAGTAGTCTATAGTCTGGTTAGCTTTTATTCAAACACAATAGCAGGTTTTTCAGCCAAACAGAAGCTGCAAAAGAACCAATCTTCTTCATTTTCCTAAATGAAACCTGACATGTCTTCAGTGAGAACTACCCAGTGAATTACAATGCAACTGTAAATTGTAATTGACATGTGAAACCTCAGACTGAGAACATCAGTTAGCACCTTCCTAAACTAAAATGTTGAGGAAAAGCGTACAAAGGAATGACAATTAAAAAAGCTTTTTGAAAGCTGCAGAGAAACTTTTCTTTTAGTCCAAAGGTAAATCCTTCTTTAAACTAAAGCTAAGTGTTAGAGAAGAAGGTGAACACAAAGGAGTTTGGAAGAGAGAAGGAATCTTTCAAAAGCCATTGAGATAAAGTCAAACACTTCCAGGCTTGCTGCCTTTAACAGCAAAGGAAAGGACTCCTTTTCAAGAACACAGCTCCTGACAAAACAAAACAAAAAAATCCCTCTTTTCTCTTCTGCAAACTCTTCAGCAGTCCTCTCCTTGGACTGAGGCTACAACATTGAAGTGGCTCTCCATAAACCATAAGAAGCATGTAAATTGCCAGAAGGGGATGCAAAAGTGGATTTGGGTTATGTGGTAAGGTTTTTCTACCAGGGGTCTGTATTGTGAAAAAAATGCACTGACTGGAGTTTCCTGCAAGGCTGCAGAGACCAATACTGTATTTTGGGTCTTGGCCTCAAGACCCTTAAGAGAAATAAAGATCCTGTTAACAAAAATGATTATTGAAAGTGCTTGTAAATGCCCAACTTCCAAATCTGCCTTGTCCCCATTATACAAAACTAGAAAAAAACAAACAGCCTGAGCACCCCTTTGCCTCCAGAAGACTCACCCGTAATCGATTGTCATCAACTGTCCAGATTCTGCTGGCAAAATCATTGGAAGCTGCTAAGAGGTAAGAACCCTGTGAAAACAAGATTAATTTAAAACTACTGATGCAAGTCAATATGCAAATTAAACTCAAAACATATTGCCAATAAATAATTAAATCAATGTTAGGGCTATATTGCCAAGGAAAAAAACAACCAAAAGAACACAACCACAGCAGCACATGCCAGGAAGCAACAACTTCCAAAAAGGTTATGGCTTATTCTTCTCCTCTAAATGTCAGTGATTTGTAGAATCACTACTACAGATAAAAGGAATAACAATAACCAGACCAGAAAGGACTTTCTCCTTTCCTTTCTGCTGCAGTGAGGAAGCGGGTTCTACTTTACCCTCACCTATTGGGGATTTTTTCCTCTTTTTCAATTTTTCCACTGAGAAAAAGCCCCACATCATCTACCCCCACTGCTTAGACTGGCCTCAGAGTGGAATTAGCCCAAATCTTGTAATTTGCATTACAATTCTGACACCTTCAACCAAGATTCCAAAAATTAAATCTATCCAAGGAGAAAGAAATTCAGTTTTTTGTGGCTTTAGGCTCATGTCTCTTCCAAGTCATCCATGATGGAGAATCGGACACTTTAACATTCATTCTTGCACTTCTGTCCATCTCAAAAGACTTTCCTGAATGCCTAATGCCCATTAGCATCCCACCTAAGGCATTTCTCACCTCAAAATGTATTCAAGCAGCTTGCCAAAATCAGAACTAGCTTTTCCTGCAGATTACCAGTGCCAGCAAATCTCTAATGAGCTGGTCAGTGTCCAAAGGAAGGATCCTTTTGGGTGTGTATCAATGAAGTTCAGCAAATAAAAATCACCAAGTGGAAGAAAAGATGTCAGCTTTGGTCTACTGTCCATGCAGCAGAGTACTGTGTTTTGGGAGAGGTCTCAGAAGAAAAGTCAGATCACATGTCCAGTTATAACAATCCAAGACCCAAAACTCCTTCAAGTGAAGACTGCTGGATGCTGATCCCAGTCAAGTCTCCAGTCCTTCAGGTTAACATGAACTGAGCACACCCCAGGCTGTCAGCAAATACCCTGCCAGCCATACCACGACTGTGCCATTACTGGTGAGAAACTGCTGGGAGAACAGGTCATGGAAGCACCTGTATTGGGATAATCAGACCTTTTACTGTTCATCACAGACCTCAATAGAGCAGGTATGGAAACAAACTTCACAGAAATAGAGCCTCACTGTATTTGCTGCTTCTGTGCTGTTGCGGCAGCTTTAGTGGGAAGCTGAAGGATCATTTTTTACTTTAGAAAAAGCCTAGAGTATTTTATTGCAATTTTATCAAAATAGTCCTTAACAGCCCATTTCTGAGCTGCATATAACCTTCTGGACTGCAGAGCAAAGATGAGAATTACAGACCACATTATATGAAATAAGGATGTATTTTTAACTATTTGCAGTTACTCTTCTAAGTATTTTAACTCATTTCTTAGGTAACTTTTCAAGATGTTAGAATGGCAATTGACAGCAGAGCACAACACAATTAAAATAATTTATTCCCAATCACAAACAGTGGATATTGCACAGATACTCACAGCACTATCAAATTCTATGCTTGTAATCCCAGCATTACTACCAGAGAGGGAACCTTTGGGCTCACACCTATCTGCACAGAGAAAGACAAACAAAACTTAAGCAATGGATTAGAACAGAAGCTGACACAAAGTGAACTATTATATGAGTTTGTTGAGCACCCCACCAAACCCCAAAGCAAACCAGTTTACCTCCCAGGACTTCCCAGAGCTTAACCCTCCGGTCCATGCCTCCTGTGGCTAGTAACCGGGAGCCAGGGCTGAACTGCACTGCATTCACCTCCCCATCATGTGCATCCTGAGGAGAGGGAGGAACAGAACAGCCACCCAAAATGGAATTAACACAGACCCAAGAAAAAAACAGACTAGAAAGCTATAGAACTTTAAGGCTATACAGAACCAGAGCTGTAGAACTTTCAGCAGTATATAGGAAACAAAGGCACAGACAAACTCTGCTGTGGTTGGTAAGTGTACAGACAGAGCACCAAGGCTGATATGAAGAAAAAAAGAAAAAGCACATAAAGAAAACACTTAGCAAGGACTCAAAAGTGATAGTAAACTGCCAGAAGCCTTACAAGGCTTTGTAAGTTTAGGCCTTGTGAGGCAAGACTCATAAATTGCAGCAACATAAAGAAATTCAGGCAAGGACAGGAGAGAACACAGTAACAGGTGATATGCTGTAGAAGAAAACTAGCTTTTCATTTCTCCATCTGGAGCCAGCCATGGAATACGATCCAATCAGTTCATGCACCCACAGAACACAAGTCAGACTTGAGTTAGGGAAGTCTTCTAGCAGACAGCACAACAGGTTAACTGCATTGATGAGAACACTGCTTCCTCCTGGTGAATTAGTACCAGCAGATTTGCGACAGCACCTTCCCTCACAGCTTGTGGTCCAACAGTGTCTCTGATCTGCAGCTGCAGTGACACTGTTGCACCGCTGCTTTCCCACAGCTTAGTGTTTTGAAGCTTGAGCTGGCCACTTAATAGTGATTCTTGTCCTTTTAAAGCCATCAGAATGTTAAGACTCTTTCCTTTTTTATTAATTTCACAGCTTTAAACCACTTACCCACACTGCACATTATAGTACATAGTAGCACATTATTAATTAATCTGCTTTTAAATTCCTTTTAAAGTATTTTCAGTAACTGCTCTTTCAAAATCAGTTTTTCTGGAAATTCATCTTTTTCTGGAACTTGTTACTTGAATTTGATCTGCCACCTCATCATATTTAAGGGTCATCACACTTCAAACCTGATCTTTCTACAAGTGCAGAAGAGCCATTCAGAACAAAACTGGTCAAAGGTCTTGCCTAGTAACTATGCCCAAGAATGATGGCTGAAGCGAATCAGTTCTTCACCTTTCCAGGTCTGTTCTGTTCGTTTATCCAGAAGTGAGGCTGCTCTGTTCCCTCTATCTGCCAAACCTTTGCTTGCCTTCATTCCTGGAAAGCTCTGCTGGACCTAGACACCTCCTCACACTTCACCTGGGCTCCAACACAGATCACATCCAGAAGGAACACAAGGTTTCCCATGAAATGAGTAGGGACATTTTCCTTCTAATACTGCAGTGCTAATCACACATCAGCTTCAGACTGCCATGGTCTGACAGGCTAACTGCTGCAGCCATTACTGCTCCTGCTGCAGGATGGGGAATTGGAAAGGGCAGCATTCCATAGGCTGCCCAGACTGGGGGCCAGCACAGTCTCCTGTGGTTTGCTCCCCTACGTTGAGCAGACAGGCTGCGTTGCTCTTGGAAGTTCAGGTGACATTGCAGAAGATCAAGAGAAAGATGAAAAGAACAGAACTTCTTGCATGGTTCTTGAAAACCTCACATAGCTTTGCAATACCTTTGATGATGAAATGAGCCAGCCTTGTATCTGTTGATCAACTGTGCTGGCTGTATACAGCCACAGGAGGAGAGAGGTTGCAACACATACTGCAGCCATCAATACCTCCTCTGATGGCTCCCTATTCAAGCCAGCTCCAGCAGTCAATTAAGTTATGACTCTAAGTCACTTTATATCCATGAAATATCCATATCCAGCAGTGGAGTGCCTGAGAAAGCTCAAGAGGAATGTTGAAACAATGAGCTGTGTTACAAGACAATTCACCACTATCTCTTCCATTCAGAAGGTATTTAAGGAATTTAAGTTTGGCCTTGTGAGGCCAAAACAATGCATAAAGGAGGTCTCAGCTTGAAAACTTTAGATCACACACAACAAATGAAGACACCCCACTACCATGAGCTCCTCTTCACCACCCTCTTAACCACCCTCTGTTGGATGACATTCAGTGCCACAACTCCCTTCACTGTGGAGAACTGGAACTGAATTAATCCTAAAGTGTCAGCAATCTCTTTCTCAATCATAGCTCTACTACAGCATGATAGAACACGGACTGCTGGGAGCCAGGAGGGTAATGGAGTGTGATTCCCTTGTGCCCTCAGACCTTTTACTGTTCATCATCGACCTCACTCAGACAGACATCGAGCACATTGGCTCTGAGAAGCATTCAGGCTAAGAATTAATACAGGCTAACAAATCAAGCTTCTTGCTTGGCATTGTTTCTAGGAGTTCCAGGAGATCAGTTCCCACACAGATAGGATTCACTCCCTACAAAGACAGTACAAGGAATGGTAAACCCCAGAATTCCTTCTATACTTACAAAGACACATATGGCAGTGGTGGGCACTCTTACTTCTTTACTGGCACCTGGATGTGGCTCTACATTATCCTGGGGAGCAGGGAATGAGGACAAAGAACGTCTCCTGAGATGAAACAAAGTAGAAATATTTTAAAAAGAGAAATGAATGCTGTTTGTCTTGAGTTCATCCATATCTCTACCTGTCACTTATCTACACTGAACAGTGATGTAAAAATGGAGGAAGGAGTTTAACTTCTGTTTATCCCATCTTTTAAAAATTACATTTGTCATCTAGCATGACATCCACTTGACTTTAGATATTTCATGGTATGCCAGATAAGTTACCTGAACTGATTACTGACCTAACTTTGGAGCTTTTTTTTTAATAGGAAAGAGAAACATGGGAGTGAGTGCAGCTGGAGAGACTGCAACTCCATCACTGTGCCTAGGGAGACTCAACACCATTGCAGCGCGACATCCCAGGCAGCACAAGGCTCCACTCAAACGCTCAGGCTCCACCTTTAAGCCAAGATCATCCACCCAGTGCAGCACTTGGCTTAGGACCAGCTCCACTCTAGCCACTAAGCACAGAACCCAATGATTTCTTGAAAATAACCCTATTAAAGGAGCAAAGTGCAGTGGAAAGTAAGAGCAAACTCCATGTATTCTCTCCTCAAAGAGGGGCTCATTGCCTCTCTAACTGTAGACCATTTCTAGCCAGTGTTAGCAACATTTGAAATGTAATCAGGATAATACAGCTATGTTCTGTGTTACTTCAATAGAGTACATTCACATGCTGGACTAAGAGTGGATAATGTTTTCACCTGGCAGCATCAGAAGATTGATGTCCCAAAAGGGGAGACTCAGACAGACTGGAGGGAAAGGTCAGAGGTCAGCACACGGCAAGATGGAAGAAACAGGAAGTTGAGAACAAGAAAAAAAAAAAGAAAGGCAGAAGCTAGAAGAAAGGCTGAAATTATTTGTTCGTATTCCTTGCATCACCAAGATTTTGGTGTACATTGAAACCAATATATATATAAAAAAAACCAACACAACAGAGGTGAAAAGAGTTCTAACCTACCCAAAGATATTAGTGATAGAGTCCAGAAGGCCTCCAGCTGGCTGGGAGAGTCGCTTACTGAAGGAGGGGAGGACAGGTTTAAACCTCATGAATAGCTTCTCCACATAAAGATCAATACAAACACATTTCATAGCAATAAGTCTCTGGAAAGACTCCCTCCCCTGCAGACCCAGCCCAAAGACAGAACACCAAAGGCTGGCATCAGTTCAAAAGTCACCAGTAACTACGACTCAGAACACAAGTGAAGTTTCTTCACTACTCCTCAAATTCCATCCTGTGGATTATTGGGTTTAGATACAACAGTCTGCTAAGCCTGCAGTTTCAATCAAATTAATCCATGCTCTCATGTGGATCTCTCTTACTTTCCACTCACTGCTATTTTAGAGGAAGGAAGAGATGCATTTAGTCTAGGTAAAGTATTTTCAGCATTTCAGCTAATTCCAAAAACCTAGGTATTTGCGAAGTCACATTGGTATCTTGTAGAGTAACAAAGATACAATACAACAGGCATCACAATACCCATTTGATTTTCTTTTTGGCTTTTAGATCCCTGTTTTTAAAGATTAGACACAGATTTTTCAGGGACTAGTTTAATATTTTTTAAACCAGTAGAGGGAAACCAGCATCTCTAGAGCATGGTATGGTAACAGAACACAGCACATGAGTTTCATACTACTCTGGTGGAAGCACTAAGCTGTGTTCCAGCTAAAGGCAACTAAAATGCCATAAGTAACATTCCTAACATTGTTCCAACTCTTATACCCCTTGTTATTCCTCAGTGACAAGATACAAAAAAATCTTTGTCTACAAACCTGGATGTTCGGCTGACAGCTCGCACTGGAGACGTCTCCTCAGCAGTGTCAGAGGTTTCATCTGCAAGTACTTCAATATCATCATCCCTGCTGGAGGGAGAGAAAACACTTTTGTTTTCAATCAGCCAGAGCTTTCTATGGAAACCACTAACAGATGGATACCAGCTGAATGGAGGGTACTGCTCCAGGGTCTGTGGGCCCTGAGCCTAGCCCTCACCTAGTTTGCTCAGCAGCAGTAAGAAGGTCAGTAGCTCCAGACAACACAAACATTTCTGAGCTGTCACTGTCAGTGACAACATATTCAGCTGACAATGTCTGAAAACCAGTACATGTAAGGCACCTACATTTTAGATTTTTCTTTCCAGCTGTCAATTACACTCTCCACTGACAAGAGAGTTGGATTTCTCCCCCCCCATACTTATGCTGACGTCCTTTCCTGGTTCTCTTTACTACAGATATGCAGCCCCACAGACAGCATAAGGACCTATCACCTTTCAGTAAGACCTTGCTACAGAATGAACTGTATTTGCTGGTACAGTTTGAATAGCAAAAACATGAGTTACTGCAACCCCTAATACAGGTGATACCCTACTTTCCCAGCACTTTTTTTCACTGCTCCAAAACAAGGACATATTTTCACTTTCCTTCTTTATCCACACCAAAGACATCTAGATACTTTCTGTACTGTTGTACCTCAGTGCTGCTCCAGGCTATTTTGGTACACTTGACTGAAGTGTGAGGTTACAACACCTATACCATAAATTAATCCACTGAACTAAGCTAAAGCTAAAAGGTTAGTCATCATGGGCACTGACAGTCTGCTGGTTTTTCCTTCCATGATGATTTTTCCTCCACTGCTGATTTTGCAGGACAAGCTATTTTTAAGCACTATCAACCTGATGACATCTGACTGAACAGGAACTTTAAACTCAGCATTTAAGTAGGAATAAACCAATTCCTACTCTAAATTGACACTCAGCAAAAGAATTTAAGAGAAAGTGCCCATTTTTAATCTCTCATTTCAGAATATGGCTGCACTTCCAATTCTAAAATTTTGGAGGACAGTACATATGAAGAGGTTATGGAAAAGATATATCCCTCTTGAAAGGATCAGGATGATATTTCAATAAACCACTATCAAATTCTGCTGCTATTTCTTTTCTACAAATCTAAACTTTGAGCTATTAAAAGTGTTTGGAGCAATTCCATGCTATTCTGTCTTCACATATTTTTGAAGTGAATATAAACACCAGGGCACACTCCTTGAAATGCTGCCATTTTTCCCTTCACTAAGCAGCACATTTCCACAATACAAACCCTCCAAAATGATGAAATCAAACAGAAGGGATAAAAAAAATCTGTGAAGCAGAGTAATTTACAGAAGCAATTATTTTATTTTTTTTTAAACAGGCTTCTTTTTTCTCAGTGTCTCATACAAAAGTATTTATGAAGCACTGAGACCATCACCCCCACCACAATAGGAAGTAAAATATTCAAAATGTTGTGCTACAGCTACCTCTGAACTCAGCTCTGACAGAAAGGTTGTGCTTTGGGTAAGGCAGAGGAAGCAGCTTAACAGGGAAAGTGGCCACAGACACTGCATGTATGTTTCCCTTCACAGTGCAACATTATTTATCAAGGAGTTTAATATTCTAAGATATTACACTTGCATTTACATCAAATAACCTGGACAATAGGAATATTCACTATTCTTACGGGCTGGGAAGACAATGGCCTGTGACACAGAGGTCAGCAAGAATCTTGTCATGCAGAGTCACACCCCAATAGGCAAAGGCAAAGGAAGCATTTAAACACTTCTTAAGAAAAAAAACCACAAAGCAAAGCAAATTTTGCTAAACTAGTTGTACTGGTAACAGCTCCAATTTTCCTTTCAAAGCTCCAAGCTCTCTCACACTCCCCTCACACATGCCCTTCCTACCCACCCCAGAGGTTTGTATAGTCCCTCCTCCTGAGCAGACACACTGCTCCCATCACATGCAGGGACAAGCAGCACAGCCACCTAAGGTGGTCACACCATTGCTGACAGAGACAGCAGACACCAAGAAAAAGCCTGCAGACTGTTCTGGCACTGTGCTCTGCAGGTGTGTGGCTGTGCCACCAGCAATGCAGTACAGAATCACAGGCTGGTTTGGGTTGGAAGGGACCTTACAGACCATGCAGTTCCAACCCCCCTGCATGGGCAGGAACACCTCCCACTAGACCAGGTTGCCTCAAGCCACATCCAAACTGCCCTTCAACACTGCTAGGGATGGAGCCTCCACAGCATCCCTGGGCAACCTGTGCCAATGTCTCACCACCCTCACAGAAGAGAATTGCTTAATATCTACAGAATCACAGATCTGGTTGGAGAAAACCTTTAAGATCATCAAGTCCATCCCAATTAATTTGGTGTATCTCTGAGTTTCCTTTAATTTTCTACAGCACTGCATCATCTACATAAATACTGTTTTTCTCATGGCAATAAAGAATGAATTATCCTCAGAATAACTGCAGGGGCAGTTTCTCTGTATTTGGCTAACACAGTGCCAACAGCCTCACTGGCCTGGTGCAAGGCACTGGTACTCTCAACTGCCTACTCCAGCCAGCTGAATAAATAACACCTTGGAAGAAACATAACAGCAAAAAGAAGAGATGAGATATTCACCTCTGGCTTGCCAGGAAAAGTAACATATTTATCTATTTTTGTCCTACAGAATAAATCTCTCCTGGTATGGAAGTGGCCAATATATTTTCACCCACCATAACTCACTCAGTACCCGTTCCCACAGGAAATCCTTGAACATAATTGTAGCCTAACACTTAAAAATGCAGGTGTCTCCAGAGTATACTGCCTTCAAGATTAAAAGTCTACTTTGAAAACCAAAGGCATCACATAAGACATGTTTTTCTCCTGAGATAAGAACATATATTCACACGTCAACCATTCTTAGGACTTTCAGTCCAAGCACCTATT